AAAAAAAAACTAATTAATTAGCTGGGGCCGTGGTGGTACACACCTGTAGTCCCAGCTACTTGGGAGGCTGAGGCAGAGGATCACTTAAACACAGGAGGTTGAGGCTGCAGTGAGCTGAGATCATGCCACTGCACTCCAGTCTGGGTGACAGAGTGAGATTCCCACCTCTACAAAAAAAATTTTTTTTTTTTAATTAGCCAGTCGTGGTGGCACACACCTGTAGTTCCAGCGACTTGGGAGGCTGAGGCAGGAGGATCACTTAAGCTAGGAGTTGAGGCTGTAGTGAGCCGAGATCGTGCCACTGCACTCCAGCCTGGGTGACAGAGTGAGACCCTGTCTCCACACACACACACACACAAATTTAATTAGTCAGTCGTAGTGGCACACACCTGTAGTCCCAGCTATTTGGGAGGTTGAGGCAGGAGGATCATTTAAGCCCAGGAGGTTGAGGCTGCATCAAGCCGAGATTGTGTCACTGCACTCCAGCCTGGGTGACAGAGTGAGACCCTGTCTCAAATATAAATAAATGTGCATGGAGAAATATGGAGTAGAATTGTGAATGTGTATTTTTTTCTTCTCGTTTTTTGTGGATTCTGTATCTGTAATGATCTCATGTTGTTTTTAAGAAATAAAATAGTTGTTTGACAGGTGAAAAGCAGTTATGTTTAATTTTTTCCAAGTAAGAAGTCTCACTTCCCCAAATGATTTGCTCTGAAAACAACACTCATCGGCATGCCTGAGTTTTGAAATACTGGTGATTTGAGACCATATGACACAAGAAACGTCCTGAGGCCAGAACACAAGCCTTTAGCCCAGGGACACTCACATGGGGTCCCCCAAGCCCTGTTTCTTGGGGATACCTCAGAAACTGGGTCTGACCCCACCAGGTATGTCTTGTTTGTTTGTTTGTTTGTTTTGAGACGGAGTCTCGCTCTGTCGCCCAGGCTGGAGTGCAGTGGCGCAATCTCGGCTCACTGCAAACTCCACCTCCCGGGTTCACACCATTCACCTGCCTCAGCCTCCCAAGTAGCTGGGACTACAGGCGCCCGTCACCACACCCGGCTAATATTTTGTGTTTTTAGTAGAGATGGGGTTTCACCATGTTAGCCAGGATGGTTTCCATCTCCTGACCTCGTGATCCGCCCGCCTCGGCCTCCCAAAATGCTGGGATTACAGGCGTGAGCCACTGTGCCCAGCCCCCACCAGGTATGTCTTAAAAGGAGGATTAATCAGTAGCAGGGAGAAGGGCTGCTGGGCTCTCTTTTTCAGCCACAGTATTAAGTTAGAAAGAGAAAAAAAACCAGGGGTAGAAGTGAAGAAGCAAGAACAGGTGTGGTGTATGTTCTTTTTAATGACGTCGAGTCATTCTGCAGCCAACTCAATGCCATGTAGCCTCAAGCCGGGGAGTTTTGTTTTTCCTAAGCAATAGAATCCGACTCTGCCAGCAAGAAGCGCTTGACTGCTGTTCCTTAAACATGCAGAAGGGTTTTTTGTCTTGTTTTGTTTTGCATAATGGACACATTTCCCATGCAGCGACTTTCTGGGTTCTTTGTCATATGTCAAGGTAAGCGTTTAGAAAACTCCTCCGTGGGCCACGGGGAGGCAATTTTCACCTAATACAGAATGCTTAAGATGGAGAAAGCCAACTTTTCAATATCGCTTCAGGGACCATATATTTTGTGCATTCAACACAGCTGAATGCAGACAAAGTCAAGAGTTAAAATTGAGTGTAAACTCCTGACAAGGAGATTGAAGGGGGGAGGTGATGGCTGGTGAATTACTGCCCCCTGGTGGCCACACACAGTAATGGGATCATTTTGCTGTAATAATCCTTTTGAATCTTCCTGTTTTCCCCTGCCATCTTCCATTACCCTCTACAAAGGGGTTGCAATCTGGCGGCCCTGGAAAGCCAGCCGGCAGCCATGCCAATTGCCTTAAAATCTGGAGATACTGCTTTAAAAATCTAGGCCTCACATTTCTTTTGAAAAATTGAAAACTCTGTCCACTTTTAGACTGCATCCCAGCTAATAAATATGGGTTCCAGCTGAGAAGCTGCTGCCCACTTTAGACAAGGTATGTGCTCTCAGATCTGCCACACTCCCCACCTCTCCCTATTGTCTCATGGCCAGTAAGTTTTACTCATTAGCCGTTCCTGCATAGCTTCTGGATTTACTACTCGTAGCCTAAGCTAATTAAAGAGCTAACAAAGAGAGGAGGGTGCCTTCAGAAGCAGACGATTACATTGCTTTACACCTGGGTGTGGACAGGGGTCGACAAGTCTCATAATACCCAGCTCAGTGAGGATAAGTGACTTGTTCAAGGTCACCCAGCTAGCAAGCGGCGGGCCTTGCATTTCAATGCACATCTGTCTGATCCCAGAGCTTCACTGTTTTCTAACATACCAACAGTCACCCATACCTACCAGGCCCTCCTCTGGGGAAGGTTTTTACAATGACATACTTGGGCCATCAGGAAGTGCAATTCAGAGGACTCCAAAAGAAAAATGTTCATGACCTTTGTTGAAAAGATTGAAAATGAGAAGCCACCAAAATAATCACCACCCTGATTTTGTTCCTTAAAAACTATGGATCTTCTGGTCAGGCACAGTGGCTCAAACCTGTAATTCCAGCACTTTGGGAGGCCAAGTCAGGCAGATCACTTGAGGTCAGGAGTTGAAGACCAGCCTGGCCAACATAACGAAACCATGTGTCTGTTAAAATACAAAAAACTTAGCCGGGTGCGGTGGCACACGCCTGTAATCCCTGCTACTCAGGAGGCTGAGGCAGGAGAATCGCTTGAATCCAGAAGGTGGAGATTGCAGTGAGCCAAGATCACACCACTGCACTCCAGCCTGGGTGACAGAGCAAGACTCTGTCTCGGAAAAAAAAAAAAAAAAAAAAAAAAAATTAGCCTGTGTGTGCCTGTAGTCCCAGCTACTAGGGAGGCTGAGATGGGAGGATCACTTAAACCCAGGACATGGAGGTTGCAGTGAGCAAGATCACGCCACTGCACTCAAGCCTGGGCAACAGAGTGAGATCCTATTTCAAAAAAGATAGATATGTGATAGATAGATACATACATACATACATACACAGTTTGCTCTGTGCCAGATGTATAGAATCTCATTTCACCCTCACATAAAACCCTGTGAAGTGGTACTATCATCACATTGTGTGCAGTTTACAGAAAAGCCTAGACAGATGATCAACTAGATCAAGTCACTTGCTGAATGTGATTCAGTTTGCAAGTGGCAGAGCTGGGATTTGAACCCAGGGCTGTGTGACTCCTAACAGTGACACCCACAACCACCACCTAACCCTGCCTCCAAGAGCAGTACCTGTGACAGAGTAGGTCAGGTCTTGAAGCATCAAGCCTTCTGCAAATCCTGAACTGGATGCCAAAAGCAAGGTAGGCTGTTTGTCCCCATTTTACAAGTGGGGAAAGTGAGGCCAGGAGTAATATGCCCACGGTGACACAGAGAGTAAATGGCAAAGTCTGAATTTGAGCTCAGGTCTCTCTGACTCCCCAGAATCTGAACTGCTAATTTCTAAATACTTAGCGTTTTGGGGGCACCTCCCTAAATGTTTAATTTCAGTATTTGTGGATTAAGATGGAGGTTTCCATTCTCTGCTTCAAGGAAAAAATTTCTCTATGGGAAGCCAAAAGAACTAGCCAGATCCTTCTGGAGAGGATACAAATTAAAAAGTCAGGGAGGACCGAGGGGGTGGCTCCTGCCTGTAATCTTAGGGCTTTGGGAAGCCAAGGTGGAGGGAGAGCTTGAGGTCAAGAGTTCGAGACCAACCCTGGTGACATAGCCAGACCCTGTCTCTAAAGAAAATTAAAAATCAGAAATAGGTCGGGCGCGGTGCCTCACGCCTGTAATCCCAGCACTTTGGGAGGACGAGGCAGGCAAATCTTCTGAAGTCAGGAGTTCGAGACCAGCCTGGCCAACATGGTGAAACACCGTCTCTACTAAAACTACAAAAATTAGCCGGGCGTGGTGATGTGCGCCTGTAATCCCAGCTACTCGGGAGGCTGAGGCAGGAGAATCGCTTGAACCTGGGAGGCGGAGGTTGCAGTGGGCCGAGATCGCGCCACTTCCCTCCAGCCTGGGCAACAGAGTGACTCCATCTCAAAAAAAAAAAAAAAGAAAAGAAAAGAAAAGAAAAAGAAAACTCGCCGGGCGTGGTGGCACGCACTTGTAGTCCCAGCTACTTGGGAGGCTGAGGTGGGAGGATTGCTTGAGCCCAGGAGGTGGAGGCTGCAGTGAGCTGCAATTGCTCCACTGCACTCTAGCCTGGGCGACATAACGAGACCCTGTATTTTAAAAGAAAACAAAAGTTGTTTAAGTCAGGGAGGAAAAGACACAGAGGGAAAGAGAAAATTCAAAGGCGGCGGCAAATTCAGCAGCACGGGGTGGGGGCTAAGAACAGGGGTTGCGCAGTCAAGGAGGCTAACAGGATGAAGGGTGGAAAGCATCTGCTTCTTCATTTCACACCAGGGAAAAATGAGGCACACGACAGCGGATCCGGGACGAGGAGACCCGAGGAAGGGACCGCCGTGGAACTTAGAATTTCCGGGCCCGCCACCTAGCGTGCCGCAAATCCCCACGCGCGTCGGGTTTCCAGCACCTGCTCCTCCCATCTGTGGCCTAGGCCCCGCCCCTCCCGCTGCTTATTGGCTGCTACATGAACGAGACAAATGCAAGCGACAACCAATGGGAGTGGCCCACGGCGCGTCTTTCCCGGGGAAGCCGACGCGGACGCGGGAACCCGGAAATGCGAGGGAAGGACAAGTGGAGAAAGCCAATCCGCCGAGACGAGGGCTGCGGGCGGTTCAATGGCGAGTCGCCGAGGGCGGAGCCAGAGGCCGGCGGAGAAGGAGGACCCCGGAGCTGGCGGCCTCGGAGCTGGGAGCGCGGGGAAGGCGGTTGGGGTTCTGACAGCCGCGCGCGGTGAGAAGTGGGCAAGCCCGAGGGGCTCGAGAGGACGGAGCCGGGAAGGGTGCGGCGGGGCCGCGAGCTCTGGGCGGGGTTCGGGAAGGGGAGGCTGTGCAGTCTTGGAGGGGACTTAGACCGGTCCCCTCTCCTCTCCCGGCCTCAGTTCCCCTTTTCTTGGGAAGTGTGGGGGAGAGATTCGCGCCTCCTGGAACGCACTGCTTCCCCGCACACACCCCTGGCACCGGCGAACTGCCCCTTGCCTGTACCGCCCCGTCAAGGAGCCTGTCCCCTCGGGAAGCCCGCCCAGACCCCTGGACCCGCGCAGCACTCCAGGCGCACCCCTGTTAAAGCTCATCCCAAGCCATTTCTCATGTTCTGTGGCAAAGGGCCAGGCTCCACATAAGACTCCGAACCCCCGATCCATCAGTCATTCCCGGGTCAGTACCAGCCCAGAGCAGGTGCACAGGCCCTGCTTATAGTAATAAGGTAGAAGTTGAGACCTGGGGACCGGGCTCAGAGGCCCTGGTGTTTCCTTCCGGATGCCTCTGTTTACCTCCTGTAGGCCTTCTGGAATTTAACTTATGCTCTCTGTGCCTTGGTTTCCCTTGTCTGTAAAATAGAGCTAGAGGTAGCTCTTCTTTCATAGAGTGGCATGACGGTGAAATGAGGCAATGTGTGGCCAGTACACAGCTCAGCACCTAGCACACCATAGTTGCTTAATAAGTGCTTATTGTTAGCATAGTGTTTGCATACCTGGCCCCCCTCCACTCCCACTGCCAGCCCCAAGTACATACAAGCCCTGTTGTCACTGAGGCCAAGCACTGTGGCCCACAGCCTGAGTTCCTTTCGAGATGCTCGAACTGCTCCTCCTCCTGGTGGGGTCCCTTCTGGACAGGCCAGAAACGGAAGGCCAGAGAGGGGAAGTGCACTGTGGGAGCTGTGGCTGAATATCAGGGTGAGAGCAATAAATGAGGCCACCCAACAGTTGTGCTTATCAAAGATTGGGCGTCAGAACTGCTGTGGCTGATCTGCATGTGTGCCTGTCAGTCATTGGTGTCCCAAATGTTTGACATATGTCCACAAATCCAGTGTCTATAGTCAGAAGCCACAGGGATGTATGGAAAGGGGGAACACGTTAGAGCCGTGGGGTTCCTGAGTTCCAAGTCCTAAGGCTGTCACTTGCTCCCGGCGAGACTTTGGGCAAGGGACTTCACCTCTCTGAACCTCAGTTCCCTCACTTGGAAAGTGGGATGAAAACATCAGCTCAAGTTGTTGAAGACTATGACCCATGGGAGGCATTTGTTGCTTAGCACAGGGCCTGGATTATGGCAAGTGCTCAATAATTGTTGGACCACAGCAGTGTTATTTTCACAGTCACACTGCTCAGGAGGTGGCACCAGTCCTTCTAGGCTGGTCCCTCCTCTAGTGAGATCCACTCCTTGACTTGCCCTCACCCCGTCTCTAGTGAGCTAAAAGCAGAAGTCTCCAAACCCATCTTCCTGGCTGAAGTCACGCCGTGTCCTGAACGTGTCTGTTTCTCCTGTGACTCTTGGCTCCTTGCAGATCCTGCTGTGTCTCAGCTGCCTGTGGACATGCGCAAAGGGCCCTCTCCTGAGTCCAGATGATGCTCATGCCGATGGCTTCAGTGATGGCGGTGACTGAACCGAAATGGGTCTCGGTCTGGGGCCGCTTCCTCTGGGTGACGCTGCTGAGCATGGTGCTGGGGTCCCTGCTGGCCCTGCTGCTGCCACTGGGGGCTGTGGAGGAGCAGTGTTTGGCTGTGCTCAAAGGCTTCTACCTGCTCAGGAGCAAACTGGACAGGGCGCAGCATGCCGCCGCCAAGTGCAGCAGCCCATCCACGGAGCTCAGCATCACCTCCAGGGGCGTGACGCTGCTGGTGGCCAAGACCAAGGCCTCTCCAGGTAAGAGAGACTGGCTGTCTTCCTCAATGTTTGTTAACTGAGCAGACAAACATAGAATGTGTGCCGTGTCCTGTGTGCAGGGCATCGGGGTATTGTGAACAAGTCAGCCCTGAGCTCCTAGTATAGATAAGGTGACGTGACTGAGACAGTGTCACAAGTGTGGTGACGGGGAAGCACAAAGGGCTGTAGGAGCATACCAGGAAGGCTCCCTGGAGGAAGTGACACCTGAGCTGGGACCCAGTTGTTAAGTAGGAGTCATCCAAGGAGAAGGGCATCCAAGGAAAAGGACTCCAGGCTTTTCCTGACAGAGAAAAGGACCCTGTCATAAGAGAGCCTGGGGGCATTCGAGGAACTAAAGGAAGTTGAATGTGTGGAGCTGATCCTCAGGTGGCCGAGAGGGGCCAGGACAGGAAGGCTATGGCTAGAGCAGGCTCCCCACCTCCACCAGTTCTCTGTGGTGGGGGCTGAATGTGCATTGTCAGATGATGGTGGCATCCCTGGCCTCTCCCGATGAGATGCCTGTAGCACCCCTACCACCACTCCAATTATGACAACTAACCAGGTCTCCAGACATCACCAAATGTCCCCTGGGGCGCACAATCAAACCACTGGGTTAAAAGAGTGAAAGAACAGTCCTGCGATGGTAAAGCCCCCAGGGTCTAGGAAGAGTGGGGAGTTGTTAACACCTTTGGGCCTGCAGGCCAAAGGTGTGTCACCAGCACAGGACGAGCTGGAGATGTAGGAGAGGGCCTCCATTGGGAGCTGTGGCCAATGGGAAAGGCCCAGCACAGAGGGCCCAGGCAGAGTAAATGCCCAGAACTTTCTATGTCCGGAAGGCAGGAGGCTAGGAAGCCAAGGAGGTGCCTCCCTGAATACAGAGTGTGGCTCTGGGGACACATGGATAGTGGCTGGCATACCACCACACGGCTGGGGGATCAGAGTGGTACTGGGCACGTTGTGTACACACGATGCGGCTGGAAGAAGCCCCCCAAGGCCAGGGACCCAGGCTGGTCATCGTGGTTTTCCGCGGAGACCAGCAAAGGTGACAGCCCCCCTCAATGTCCTCTGCCCCCTAGCCTCCCTCACATCGCTTCTTTGGCTCTCTTCCAGCAGGTAAGTTGGAAGCCAGAGCCGCCCTGAACCAGGCCCTGGAGATGAAGCGCCAGGGCAAGCGGGAAAAAGCCCAAAAGCTCTTCATGCACGCCCTCAAGATGGATCCGGACTTCGTGGATGCGCTCACCGAGTTTGGCATCTTCTCAGAAGAAGACAAGGACATCATCCAGGCGGACTATTTGTACACCAGAGCATTGACCATCTCGCCCTACCATGAGAAAGCGCTGGTCAGCCGTGATCGGACGCTCCCGCTCGTGGAGGAGATCGACCAGAGGTATTTCAGCATCATCGACAGCAAAGTGAAGAAGATCATGTCCATCCCCAAGGGGAACTCGGCTCTGCGCAGGGTCATGGAGGAGACCTACTACCATCACATCTACCACACAGTGGCCATTGAGGGCAACACCCTCACCCTCTCAGAAATCAGGCACATCCTGGAGACCCGCTATGCCGTGCCCGGGAAGAGCCTGGAGGAGCAGAACGAGGTCATCGGCATGCACGCGGCCATGAAGTACATCAACACAACCCTGGTTTCGCGCATCGGCTCCGTCACCATCAGCGACGTGCTGGAGATCCACAGGCGGGTGCTGGGCTACGTGGACCCCGTGGAAGCCGGCAGGTTTCGGACGACACAGGTCCTGGTCGGACACCACATCCCTCCCCATCCGCAGGATGTGGAAAAGCAGATGCAGGAGTTTGTACAGTGGCTCAACTCTGAGGATGCCATGAACCTGCACCCGGTGGAGTTTGCAGCCTTAGCCCATTATAAACTCGTTTACATCCACCCTTTCATTGACGGCAACGGGAGGACCTCCCGCCTGCTCATGAACCTCATCCTCATGCAGGCGGGCTACCCGCCCATCACCATCCGCAAGGAGCAGCGGTCTGAGTACTACCACGTGCTGGAAGCGGCCAACGAGGGCGATGTGAGGCCTTTCATTCGCTTCATCGCCAAGTGTACTGAGACCACCCTGGACACCCTGCTTTTTGCCACAACTGAGTACTCGGTGGCACTGCCAGAAGCCCAGCCCAACCACTCTGGGTTCAAGGAGACGCTTCCTGTGAAGCCCTCACCCTAGAAATCCTTCCTCAGTGACAAAGGATGTCCTGAGGTTCGGGGGAAAAAAAAAGAAACAGCATTTCTAGAAACCTAGTCACTTTCCAAAGCAAAAGGAGAAACATTCTTTACCTCCAAATGTTTAGTTTAAAAAAAAAAGAAAACACTTAAGTTATGAAACCTTGTCTCTAAAATAACTTATAATTCAAGCAAGCTATTTATTTTCTTCTTTGGAGCAAGCTAGTCAGTGTTGTGTGGTGTCTGCTGTGTCTTGCTGGTGGCCGTACTTTAGGGGCAACAGTGCCACCATGTGATCAGAACACAGGTTCTGGAGCAGAATTTGCACTAAGGGGGAGGAGTGGCCAGATGTGGGACAGGGCCCAGAGCCACTGATATAACGCCTCCAAGTACTTCTCTGAAACGGGCTGAGAGGTTCTGTGACTGCAACTGGGAAGTCAGACCCAAGTCGCAGCTGAAAGAAATGGTTGAAAGCTCACTTTTCTTGAGGTTTAGATTAGTGGTGACTAACTTCCAAGCAAACTTCATAGAAGAGAAAATGAATGCTGACATTCCTTACCTCCAGGAACTTTTTGAGCCATAGTTTGCAAACTTTAGTGCCAGCGGCTGTTTTTTTCCATGTTGAGACTATTTTTCTAATTAAGAATAGGGGGTAGCCATAAAGAGCTGTATGTTGGAGGGGGAAACATGGGGGGTGGGCAGTTTGGTTTTCTTTGTGTATTGGTGTTTCTCTCACACTTCATTTGTAGTAACTCAGGCCAGATGTTTTCGTCTAAAAGTTCTCTGGGCTTGTCGTTCCACCTGTATCATGCTGCCAGGCAGGTATTATGCTAGTAGACATCTGCCCTCACCCCTCTGCCTGAGTTTTCTGTAGGTAGATGTTAACCTGAGAAAACAAGTGCCACGTGGACACCAAATAAGCATTTTTGATAATGAATTAGAGCACCAGTTTCTACTGAATGGAGCAGAAACCTTCAGCCATGGCCAGGCTGCATCCCTCTGGTCCTGGAGTTTCATCTACTTACTGCCTGGACCCCCACCTTCCACGGCCTTTGCACTGTCCCATGTCCCGTCCCCCATGGGGAGGCAGAAGAGATTGCCTCAGAGTGGCCTTATTTTTCTCGCAACTTGTGAAATGATGCAGTGCTCTATGTAATATGGCCGAGTTTCCAAGCTGTCATCCAATGGAAGTAGAATCTTCTCTTTCAATCATATGGCACAGCTGCCAATATGACTGCTGCTATTTAGAGTCAGAGTGGTGGAAGTCACTGGGTCCCTTTCCCAGTGACGGAGCCTGTGATGTCTAATACTGTACTGCACTTTGTCAGCATGTCAGTGATGGCGAATACGCAGTGTTGTCTGATTTGGGAATTCCATTCCTGACAGTAATGAGGCCACTGCTCTAATGTCGTTTATACAGTTATTCAGTTGTATAAATAGCACATTGAGTAGTTTTTGAAAGGTTAAGAAAAATAAGTGAAAAGATATATGGAATGGCTCCAAATGATAATTATCCAAACCTCTATAAAATATGTTTTCATACTCATGCTGCCAGAGGTACTTCTTAAACTCTTCTCGTCTTGGTTTTATAAGCACACCAAGGAGGTCTGACAGATGTGTTTGCTTCTACTATAGAGCAAGAGAATTTGCACTTTAGCTATATGTGAAGGATATTATTTTAACAAATTCCTGATTCTAATAAAGTTATTTTATTACATGAATGCCTGAGACTTTGCTGTCCTATTTGGGAGATGTTCCCATCTGTCATAAGGGCAATGGGGGTATCTGACCTTCGGCCCTATTCATAATACTGTTCTGGGAGAGCAACAGATCCAAGATGGTGATTTCCATGGGCAAACGAGCCAGAAGTTGGATAAACCGCCTACCTAGGTGGATAAGGACAAATTACTGATTTTTTTTTTTTTACTAAGACTCAAGTAACTGGAGTAGTTTTTCATGTTTCTATTTACCATCAGTTCTGGATTTTCTGCAGAAAACACAAACCCACTCATGTGCTCCTGGAAATCCATTTCTAGAACAGTCAACACCCGGAACCTAAATTGGGTTCTGCTCAACCCCGAAAAGGTTTGCCCCTGTAACAAGCCTGGGCTGACATCTTCAAGTATGACATTAAGGTCAGAATACTGGCTGCAGGCAAGAAAGCCAAACCGTTAATGTGAAGCAGCGAAAAGTAAGGCCACACTCACCCATAGTGATATTCACGGCTCTTCACGTGTCAGGTCCCCAACCATGAGGGCTCCCTCTGAGCTACCCAAATCATCTCACCAGCTGAACAGTCTTCCAAACAGCATCACAGAGAACACTGCAGGAGGAACACGTGGGACAGCAAAGGTTCTTGCTGCTGTCAACACACAGCGCTTGAATTTAATTCAGAAGTCTAGTAAAAAGTTTGTTTTGTGTAAAAAAGAGACGGAGGGGAACCTACATTTTAAAAGATGTAAGAGGCTTACGAACCAATAATTTACAGGGAGGAGAGCTGATATTTATAGGAAGGTGGAAATTTGAGTGGACAGTTGACATTAAGGGATTACCACTAATGTTTCTAGGAGTGAAGGCCTTTCAGTCCTCCTGAGACACCTGCCACAACATTACTGGACGAGCACAATGACATCTGGAACATGCCTCAATATAACACAAGGTGGAGGGGAGACAGACATAAAGGAAAAGGGGCTGGGAGTTGAGGAATGCTGGAAGCTGAATGGTAGGCACACAGGAGTTTATTTTACTGTTCTGTCTACTTTTTAATCGGTTATATTAAAAAATGTTAAGTTAAAAAAATATAGAAAAGCCCGACTGATGCACAAAAACTTACTTACACAACAGATAAATGAGGAGCTGATTCCCATGACATATACAAGGATTCCCTGACATCTTTCTCCAGAGTGTCTTAATAAAGTAAGCTTCCCCTACTGAACTGGCAATGCTGTTTTCAAAGCAATAAATATTTGATAAAAGATGTGAGGTAAAAAAGCTCAAAAGCTCCAGTGTCAAACTGCTATAAACTGAATTGTATAAAAACTGAAGACACATCACAGCTGAAATAATTTAAATCAAAGTGACAATGGGATTTGACTTACAGAAGTTCTATTTACACATCTGTTAGGTAAAGCAAGGTACACCCACTTCAAAACACATCTGTATGTGAATGCACATCTGAGTACCATTCAGCAAGAAGTTTTGAAGAGAACTTCAGTTTAATAAAGCTAAATGGGGAGAATTGAAGTTTGCATTTGACATGGTATTAAACAAAACCAAAGGGCTGAACTCATGTTTAGACAACACAGGTCACTAGTCACTAGGCAAAGAAAACAGTCCACAGCAGGTGGCACAAATAATTCCTATACAAAACAAATGTTGCAAATATTCTGCTTTTAGGAAACATGAAACAATGGCTGACATGTCATTTACAAATACATAATATAAAAATGCACAGCCCCCTTGAACAAAAATCCAGCAAATGTTTTATAGATGACTTCCCTCAGACCCACCCCCATAATAGGCCATTCTGGTGAATTACTAGCATCTGCCATTTCATCTTTTAAAATTAAAAGAATGACGGGCACATGTGCTGTGCAGGGTAGAAGAGAAGTGTCATACAAAAAGGGGCCGGAGCTGGCCAGAAACATTTGGACAACTGCGTCTCAAAAACCGTGTTCTCGTTTTGCTTCTGTGCCTCAGTCTTTAAGACACAAAAGTATCTTGGGACACCACATCCTGCGCCCAGGGAGCCTGCGGAGTGGTCACTTTTCTGCCACTGCCCTCAATATGAGGGAGCACTGAAAGGCTCTTGACTTAGAACCCCTTCCCCCTTTCTGTCTAAAGCAGAGGAGCCATCTGTGGTTGCGAGCGGGCAGCACACCAGGCCTGTCCATCCCCAGTGCACCGCGGGGTGGTGGGAGGTCCGCCGGGCCAGAGTGAAGTAAGGCATTTCCTGTCTCCCAGAGTCCCGTTCACTTTCTCAGAAACAGCTTGGCAAAATCGGCATTGGACATCTTGGGTGCCTCGGTGGCCGCTGGGGCGGCAACTGCAGGAGCCGCGGCAGGGCCATTCTCGGCCTGAGGAGCTGCAGCACTTGGGCGCTGCAGGGCACGAGGCAGTAGAGACAGCTGCGTCCTTCCCTTCCCCCTCCTAGAAGAGCAAACACTGAATGGACCTTTTGAAGCAACAATTTGTGGCCCCTCATTTATTTGTAAAAATAAGCCAAGATAGTTTTAAATATAACCAGAAGCTAAAAGGGGGGGGGGGGGGGAAAAGGATGAGATAATCCCTGCCTCCTTAATTCTGGCTGTTAAGTAAAAACTGCTTCAACAGACTTGGCCTTGTTCAGTTTTGGCAAAGATCAACCCTGAGCACCAGTCGCACTCAGAGGGGATCAGTGTGACTATCACCTCTTAGACCTCGCCAGTCACCCCGCAATTCTGCTATCTCCTCCTCATCCCTAGCAGACGAAAAGCACAGCTTATGTGGATCATATAGCTAGGGCTGTAGACTGGCACATACGTGGGTGTAAGATTTCGTTTTAAACACAGCTCCAACTGGCAAAGGGGACTTGAAAATAATCACTGCCTTTAGTTTTGTCTGAAATAAATGACAAGTGTAAATTGGCCAGTACCAGGCAGAGGTCACTGCCTAGGCTTGCATCCTGCTCTAGACGCCTTGCTCCAGTGGAACCACAGTGATTACCAAAAGGAACAGCACGTCTTGGCTTTTCTGTCCTAACAGGAAGCTAATTCATGCCGGGTTAATCCCCCCATGGTCCATGAACTGGTGCCAGCCAGGACGAAGTTTGCACTAGTCTACCATGCAAGCACTTACGCTCCGTATGTCTGTGGCAAAAGCATGGGGCCACCTGGTGCCTTCCTGGTCTCCGGCTTCTCTGGAACCTTCCTCTGAGGAGGGTTGCTGATTGCCACTTTGATGACGTTCTCTTTGATAGTCATGCCGTCCATCTTCATCACAGCCTGCGACGCCTGGGATTCATTTTCATACTCCACATAGGCCAGGCCCTGGAAGAGGCAAGATTCAGAACCAAGTCAGATCCCACAGACCAGGGACGTAACCTCCTCCCGCAGGGCAGGCACTGGGCTTCCTCCCTGAGACCAGCAGACCAGGCCACAGCAAATGACCAACCAACAGGTTACCTTCCCCACCACTGCATCCTCTGTCTACAGGCTTATTTCCCCACCCTACTCTCCTTCCCAACTGCTGCTACGCACTGTAACTTCAGATAACCCTTCCAAGTTCAGTACACCTTGTATGTGCTGCAGAAGTAGAAAGAAAGAAGGAAACAGACAGATGGACCAGTATAAATCCAGCAAATAAACCAAGAGGTGGATGGGACACAGGGCCAGCAGCCCAGGTGCCCAGGTGAGCCCTTGTGTTTCTGTGCCTTCACCCACTCCCTCATTTCATCCTCTTTTTCTCTCCATTAACCTGGATAAAGGGGAGGGAGAGTGGGCGGTGGGTAGACAGTAACAAAACCACTTACTACACAAAACGGGGCACAAAAGGACTTAGCAGGAGACTAAGCGTGCAAGAAGGAAGGACAGAAGAGGCACTGCAATGGAGGGAATCAAGGGGCCCGGCTGGAGGCCCCAGGGAAAGAGAGGCCTGGGACAGAGGGAAGAGGCTGCAGGACGGTGCCCACCCCAAAGCCCATGTGCTGCTGGTCACAGGGCTTCCCCCAAGCCCCACAGCCAGGGGCCATAGTGTGGTGAATTCATGATCATCTATTTCCAACTGCTTTATTCTTTTTAGCACAATTAACTACAAACAAGTTAATCTGACTCCAAATGTAAGTAGAGCTAAGTGTGCAGATCTTTCTGTGAAATTAACTTTTGTTTCTCAGCAGACAAACTAGGAACCCATTCTAGAGGCTAAATCATCTTTGAACAGAGACACACAGGAAGTTTGCCCAGGCCTTGAAGACAAGGCATGATCTGCTCTGACTCTGACCTTTGGTTTGCCAGCCCGGTTGGTGACCAGCCTGAGGTCCTTCACGGTGCCATGAGCCTTACAGATTTCTTCTAGTTCTTCTTTAGTACAGGAGAAAGGCAGGCCTGAGATGAACAGCTTGTGTTTCTCTAGGGAAGTGCTGTACCTGAACACCTATAGGAAGAAGGAAGACAGAGGAAAACCATGATTCAAGGCATGACCCAGCTCACCTGACTCCTCTGACACCAGCCTTGTCTCCAGGAGCAGCCCAGCCAGGCAGACTAGAGCCAAGCCATGCTCTGAAACTTGTTAACGGGGCCACTGGGGTGAGTCACTTAACCTCTCCAGGCCTCCATGTCTTCCTCTGTAAAACGGCAGGAATAAAAGTGGCCATTCACAGAGTCTGATGAGGAGTCAATGAGGTGACACACATAAAGCATTCAGCACAGTCCCTTGTCATTACTAAGCACCCAGCAAGAAGGAGCCATGCCATGAGTCAGACCTCAGTCAGCCGGCTCAGGACGGACCTTGGCTCACAAGGAAGTTTACATCCAAACACGGCATAAAACTTCCATGTCTACCCTAAATATCACTGCTGCAGGAAGAAAGTGCCTGTCTAAAGCAACCATAGATTAAAGGCATTCTTTTTTTCCATAAACCTACCTTAAAATCGGGGTTTTTGCTCTTATCCACACAGGGGGAAACAAACATTGGCCTCCCTTCTACACTTTTCCGGTCCATCTCCAGTGCCTGAAGGGCTGATTTC